TTCTGCATCGCTCGTGAAATGCCGAATTCAGGAAGATTCATTATTCTGTTTAAAACTGTTCAACCTATCTGTGAATTATGAAGCCTATTTTTCTATATGGAAAACATTGATTATTACTACTGGATTCAAAAGTGAATCACGTAGCGATATTTCTAAATATAGACCCATTTAATTGACGTCCGTGTTGCCAAGATTCTTGTAAAAAATTATCCAAAAACAGCTATTAACATTATTACTTTTGGCAAGCCCAATTAACCTATTTCAATATGAGTTCATGACTAAACTCTCATGCTCTGCACCTAACTTTGAATGTTTTAATCAAATTACTCAGACAAGGAATTTTGAAAAATTAGTGATATTTCTGCAATTGGATTTTCAGAAGGTCTTTTACATTGTCTCAAACGAAATTCTTCTAAAACTGTCTTTATTCGGCTTACAGAATCCCCTTTTATCATGCTCCAAATCTTTTATCAGAACGTAGGCAGAGCGTTTGATTTGAATCTTGTTTCTCTGAACCAATGGGCTGCACTAAAATAGAATCACTGTTGGTCGTATATAATAAGTCGAATACATGTTATTCCTCCTAATCTGCTTTCATACACATCCACAAGTTTCTACTGTTTCGACTAACGTTTTACATTGGCCTGGTATCGAAGACGAATATTCGTCAGATCACAAATTCCATCTGAAGCAAAACCTTCTATTGTATTGAAAGCCAACGTGTTTGTTTACACTAAATTTCCTTTTTATAGAATTATTCATTAGTAAATTGAGAAGTTCGTTCTGCCACCAACTGTATTTGCTTAGAATGAGTGTGAACGATGACAATATCGCAGCAATCCCCATAGGATACACAAATACTAATAAAAAAAACTAGTCAAATGCAGTGCCAAACATGAATGGGGAGATTCAAACGAACTATACGAGATGAATATATTAAACGTTACCTAATTTATGCTTCTAATGATCAATTTACTTGTTGACTAGTCGAAAGAAACTAGACTCTTAGGTGTTTTGTCATATGCCTCCTCATATAAGCTGTTTTTTGACACCATTCGAAAATTTTGTAAAACTCAGAAATACCATTTCATTCAGGAATCACCACAAACATAACCCGAATCGAATAAAAAAATCTGGACAAGGTATAGATCACGAATAGTTTTAGTTTTCTGAAATCACTGATGAATACTTACTTACTTACGCCTGTTACTCCTCGTGAAGGAGCATAGGCCTCTCACCAGCCTGATGAATAATTCAGTTTGAAATACTGATATGTTCATTTTGTTATGGTAAGTGTTATCAAATACCATGCATACTAGTGGATGGGATGATCTCTTGTTTGACAGAAGAACTCATTTATACACGACCTGAATGACATAGAACGATAGACCGTGGTTAACTTCATTCACATCTACTTGTTCAATCGATTTCTTTGACTTGATTCAGTGTGACGTTGCGTATCAGGTTAATTTACAATCATGATCATGGGTAACATATCTATTGAAAATCGGCAGCAAAAAAATAATTAACCGACTACTTTATTTCTGTTCACAAAGGTCCTCTAAACAATAATAAACTGTCATTTGATGATTTTGTAGAGAACGTAGAATTATCATACACTTTATATCAGAAACTGATCTTGGAGAAATCCAGTTGATCACATCACCTATGATAACAGTTGGAATTGAATAATATTGGTCAACCGTGAACCCATGGAGAGACTTTGAAACTTCACAATTTGTCAACTAAAACCGAACAAAAAATATTTGAATAGATTTGACAGGACGTACAGCACTCCACGATAATTACTGTACGTTCATGCATGTGAGAAATCCACAATGCATTTTACCTAACCACCATACTACTAACATGACAATCAGTAGCATGAAAGTTTGAGAGAATATTTATGCAACGAAATAGACTGAAGCGAGTTACGAAACAAACATGTAATTTAATGTGTTAGTGTTATCGCTTGAAAACATGTTAGCGCTTGCAAATAAGAATCAAACGAACGAATTCACGACTGCATTCATTACGTGATGATTCGATTTTGTACAAAACATAGCATAATCATGATTGAACAGACATTCTGATTGATTCCCATTCATCTATGAATTGTGAACGATAAGATGAAGCGAAATTGATGATTAATATTTATGTGATCCACTCAAGTTGATGAATTTGAATGGATAGAAAAATGTGCAGTGTTACACACATAATACGTGATTGGCAGAAGTCTTATAGCCTTTAGGTACCAGACGAATATAGCACCAAATAAGCATTGATCAATGAATGAGTGTCTGTCCTTTCTGTTAGAGAGCAGTTGTGTTTCGAGTAACATAATAGCTTATGTTGCAAATGTGAGTGATCAGAGTTTGGATCACATGTCGAGTAATAGCTCCTTCAAGATCGTTGTCACACATTATAGAATTGTATCAAATACAGCAATAACATCCAGGCCTTTCATGATCTACTCGATGGAGAATGAACTACAATGGAGAGCAACTGGAAATGGATCAATGAGGTAATTACTTCAACATGTCATGAGGTCCTGGGTCACAAGAAGCACCATCACAAGGAATGGATCACTGTTGATACACTGGATAAGATTCAAGAAAGGAGGAACAAGAAAGCAGCAATCGATACCAGCCGAACAAGAGCAGAAAAAGCCAAGGCACAAGCTGAATACACAGAAGTAAACAAACAAGTGAAGAGGAGCATCAGAACCGACAAACGTAAATATGTGGAAGATCTAGCAAAGACGGCGGAAAAGGCTGCAAGAGAAGGGAACATGAGACAACTGGATGACATAACAAAGAAACTCTCTGGAAATCGCCGCAAACCTGAACGACCAGTGAAAAGCAAGGAAGGCGAGATAATCACCAACATTGAAGAGCAACAAAACAGGTGGGTAGAACACTTCCAAGGACTCTCGAATCGACCAGCCCCACTGAACCCACCCGACATTGAATCAGCACCCACGGACCTCCCAATCAATGTTGGCCCACCAACAATTGAAGAAATCAGCGTGGCCATCAGACAAATCAAGAGTGGCAAAGCAGCAGGACCAGACAACATTCCAGCAGAGGCACTGAAAGCAGACGTAGCGGCAACTGCAAGGATACTCCACATGCTTTTCAAAAAATTTGGGATGAGGAACAAGTACCAAAATACTGGAAAGAAGGACTCCTGATCAAAATACCGAAGAAAGACGATCTCAGCAAGTGTGATAACTACAGGGACATCACTCTTCTCTCAATACCAGGAAAAGTCTTCAACAGAGTATTGTTAAACAGGATGAAGGACTGCGTAGACGCCCAAATTCGTGACCAACCGGCAGGATTCCGTAAGGATAGATCGTGTACAGACCAAATCGCAACTCTACGGATCACTGTGGAACAATCAATTTAATGGAATTCATCACTCCACATCAACTTCATTGACTACGAAAAGGCATTTGATAGCGTGGACAGGACAACACTATGGAAACTTCTTCGACACTACGGCGTGCCTCAGAAGATAGTCAATATCATACAGAATTCATATGATGGATTAAACTGCAAAATCGTGCATGGAGGACAGTTGACCAAGTCGTTCGAAGTGAAGACCTGTGTTAGGCAAGGTTGCTTACTCTCACACTTTCTCTTTCTCCTAGTGATCGACTGGATCATGAAGACATCAACGTCTGAAGGGAAGCGAGGGATACAATGGACATCTAGGATGTAGTTGGATGATCTAGACTTTGCAGACGATCTGGCCATTCTATCCCAAACGCAACAACAGATGCAGGAGAAGACGAACAGTGTGGCAGCAGCCTCAGCAGCAGTAGGTCTCAATATACACAAAGGGAAAAGCAGGATTCTCCGATACAACACAGCATGCACCAATCCAATCACAATTGACGGAGAAGATTTGGAAGATGTAAAAACCTTTACATATTTGGGCAGCATCATTGATGAACATGGTGAATCTGATGCAGATGTGAAGGCGCGGATCGGCAAAGCAAGAGCAGCATATTTACAACTGAGGAACATCTGGAACTCAAAACAACTGTCAACCAACACCAAGGTCAGGATTTTCAATACAAATGTCAAGACAGTTCTACTGTATGTGGCAGAAACCTGGAGAACTACGAAAGCCACCATCCAGAAAATGAAAGTGTTCAATAATAGTTGTTTACTCAAAAACTTTGGATCCGTTGGCCGGACACTACTAGCAACAACGTACTGTGTGAGAGAACAAACCAGATCCCAGCGGAGGAAAAAATCAGGAAGAAGTGCTGGAAGTGGATAGGATACACATTGAGGAAAGCACCCGACTGCAACACAAGACAAGCCCTCACATGGGATCCTCAAGGCCAAAGGAGGAGAGGAAAACCAAAGAACACATTACGCCGAGAAATGGAAATAGACATGAGAAAAATGAACAAGAATTGGATGGAACTAGAAAAGTAGGCTCAGGACAGAATGGGTTGGAGAATGCCGGTCAGCGGCCTATGCTCCATTGGGAGTGACAGGCGTAAGTAAGTAAGTAAGTAAGTAAGTAAGTAAGTAAGTAAGTAAGTAAGTAAGTAAGTAAGTAAGTAAGTAAGTAAGTAAGTAAGTAAGTAAGTAAGTAACTAGATTCAATTAATTCTTGACTTAAATCAGTAAAAGTTCTAAAATCTCCATAAAACCCCTTCTTATAGATGGATAAGAGTCTTCATCATAGTTACATAGAACGTAATAACCAGTCTAGTCTGGGTGAATCATGATTATGCACAACAGTTAAATAGGTCGATAAAACATGGACATGAAAACAAGGAGGTTCTTTGTGAAAATGACCATTCAACTGAATTTGAATTAGATGGCTAATGTTTATTATTGTCTAAGCATAGCTGAAGCAAGAATGTCTATTGAATTAACACCGCCAAAGTATTTGTTTCCATCAATATTTTTTTCTTGTTTTTTTAATTACAAAAATGCTAATTTCATTCATATTGGTTCCGTTTGCGTGGGTGATTGATGGTCACGTTAACAAAGGCGCATAATTACAAAGAAGAAGAAGAAGATAAATTGTATTGTGCTCACACCACAATTGATTAGTTCACCTTATATGGTTAATTAGAAAAGAATGCGTTGTGATAGACGACAACAAGGTATAATTAGTGATATAATTCTATCAACAAGGAAAGTCAACAGATAGATATTGACAGACAAACTCTAAGATTATTTCATTATAATTGTTTTCATAAAGTATTTTTCACAATAAAGGAACCATATTTGGTTTATCCGGATTCAAATGGATGTGATGATTATGTGTATTATTCAACCACCTAATCCTGATTGAATATTCAAGTTACAGTCTTCAATCCATCTCTGAGTATACTACACATGACTCAAGGCATTATCGAAACAATCTACACAGGATGTAACATATGCCAATAGGAGATAAAATTTTAAGTGATGGTAAGGAACACGTACTGTGTATCAGTTAAACAAAAACTATTTATCAACAGTGTTATGTTCCAAAACTATGGAAATATCTTTTCTGCTTACCAAATACATTGTGATCTCAAATAAAGGGCAGATGTATAGCATCACTGTTAACCTGATCAAACTATGGAAGACGAAATAAAAACAAACAATCAACGATTATCATTATGACAATGAAACAGTTACGTATCACTATCGCTCTGACTATCAATCCTTATCATTAACTTTTATGTTCTCTGTTCAGTTTCTTCATTCAATGAATCCTCTCAATACTAAGGATGCTATTATTCTATTATATAGAGTGTCACATATCTGACTATCTGTTTATGTAAAATATATCGAAACCTATTCATTTGTCATTCTCCTTTAACAAATTTACCTTCTTCATAAACACTGTGGACAGAGTCAGTTAGTTGACTCGCATATCAATGTGTTAGATACATCCATTTATGTTTCACGTTTCATTTGTAAACAAACAATCCACAGTTCATATCACGTGTACTAGTGAGTGCGTGTCCGAGATCTGATACTGATATCCGATGTGCTAAGCACTGAAACTCCAACTGACAACACAGAAGTGATGTGTGTGTAAGAAAGTGAATTTGGCTGCCGTATAAAATGCATAAATACTCTTTCATGTATCCAACACATTAATTATCAGTAAACGCACAATCAAATGCACTTGTCATATATGTACATGTATAGAGGTACCTCACTGAATGCTTTATTATCTGGTTTACTTAATCAAATTCACAGCTACCCCATTTGATTACAGAATGGACTACTTACTTACTTACTTACGCCTGTTACTCCTAATGGAGCATAGGCCGCTGACCAGCATTCTCCAAACCATTCTGTTCAGGGCTTTTTTTTAATTCCATCCAATTATTGTTCATTTTTCGGTCTTCCTCTTTTTCTTTGGCCTTGAGGATTACAAGTGATGAGGACTTGCCGAACAATACCAAATGAATTTTAAATTCATCCCATTGCACAAGCAGTGGCTATCAGGACTCAGTAGTTGGGTAGATAACGCAATGGCGTTTGAAGCGAATGATGCTGGGTTCGAGTGCCACAGTGAACATCAACTCTGAGATGCAGGTAAATCCAGCTGACGAGTCCCAAATAGGAGGAAGTGACGTGCGTCCTAGATTCCACTGCTAGCCACTATCCATCTTTGCTTACAAAAGTCTTGTGAATTAAGTCGACATCGAGGTAATACGCAGAGCAGGCACATATGCCAATAACAGAGTGATCAATTGCAGTCTTAAACCTCGATGGGAATATACAAGCCAAACAATACCAAGTTAATCAATTTACCTCTTTCGCATTCAAACATTTTCTTAGCTTTCTAGTACAATTATCACTATTGTAATTACAAATCTGTGTCGTTTTCCAAAAAAATCCCTTACCATTCTTTTCTACTTTACTTTCAATAATGTTTATAGTTTTTCTCTTATCACAATCACTGACGAATTCAATCTACGTAACTAAACTAATTCAGAAAAGGATTTTGTAAAGACTATAGTAATTTAATAGTTGAGTTCATGAATCAACTAAAGCTAGATCACTATGGAAAACCAGGAAGCACTAGACGACCGTTATATCCTAATATGGGACTCATTAGCTGGATGCATCCAGGATTCCGAAAGCAAGATTAGAATTCAGAACCTTCGGTCTCATGCGCGAACGCCTAACTTCTAAATCACTGATCCCGCAATCAACAGTGTTAATCTCTGACACCAACCAATCCGCGCGATTCTGCCACTGTTCATCATTGTCTTCAGTAAGTTTCTATCTCACAATAGACCACGTTCAACTCCACTGGTCGTGGTTTCTGATTAAAACTTCAGGAAACACCTCTTGAAGCCAGTCATTAATGAGCATATAATGATTATGATCAGAAAGGCGTTTTGTAGAGATTATAGTATGTGTGATCATGAGACAAATTGTCATTCCAATTTTTATGTCTATATTTTTTAACAGACATTAACACTGTCATATGATGGTTGAATAGAATCTTTATAACTTTATTCTCAAATTACAATCTTAATATTAAACACGGATAGAACCGTTTGATACCACTTTTTCATGAAAATAAAATTCAAATATAAAAATGCAAATTTCAACAACCAATCAAAATAGTTTATGCCATATTGATTTTAACCAATCAGATTACAAGAGTTAACCAAATATTACCACCAATCAAATGTTTATTATTGTAGAACACATGAGCACATATTTTATTTCTATCCAATAATATTCTATCAATAGAGATAAGGAATGTCAATCACCTTGTGAATAATTGTCAGCACACGTCTTTAATAGTAGATAGAAGAATATGGTACAATGATGATGTTCGTCTTGCACAATTATTATTTAACACTAAACACATAAATATGTGACACATGATCTTTTTTATTGGTTGTTTTAAATCATCAAATCATACTGAAAGTAGTGAACTCAAAAAAAGTCTATATAAACCTGAGAGATCCTTTCAATATCATTCTACTATCTTCAACAAGAAGATGATGAAGTGAGTGTCAATTGAAACGATTCAATAAATGAATGAAGCATATTCATTCCAATTTGATGACACTAACCAATAATGTTATGTTCATTTTCAATGTTACAGATTTACTCTTTCATCTTGTTTGTTGGTCATTGTACTTACCAAGCTATTTGACTGTCAGACCGTTTGTGGACGTATGAAAGATGTCAAATATGAAAAGATAATTTCTCAAAATACTTCATACAGTTATGTAAGTAACCAATTAAATGTTAATTTCACATTTATACAGTCTGATCATTATGAATATTTTCAAAGAATTCATCTTGATCAGCCCAATCCTATTAAAAGTGGAACTTTTGTCAAGAGTGAAATTTCTTCTGAAGTAAGTTGATACCATTTTGTAATACAAGGTACTAATACAAAATGTGTGTGTATATTTTTAGGTGGTTAAACCTAAATTCCAGTTTAAATATTACGGTGAAATAGTCAATGAATTGAAAATCATAAAGCCTGGTAAGAGACTAATTTTCTTGATACTAAGTTCTGTTAATCACATTGAATCATATTTCTTAAACTCACAATTGAATGAGACTATGCTTTATGGACAAGCTTGAAGCAACAATAAAGTAATCTTGATAACGTCCAGCGACTGACGACCATTTAATGAGGGTTATAGATTAGTTTGAGGAATTAACATGAAGATTTACAGCTGATGGTTATGGGTTGGAATTGTATTGTCAATGTTCGTCACGAACTGACAAATCTGTTCATTCATTCACTGTAAATTATCATTCCAAATTGTATGTTGTAATGTCTTTGCATCGTTTATCAATCATCTTTGTAACCGTTATGTGATATTAATCTCAATGTTATCTGAATTCAGAAGACAATAAGAAGTGGCAACTACAGTTTATTAGCGGATAGATAGCCCAGTTAACAAAGCTATAAGCACTTCGAGCGAATTTGGTGCAGTAAGAACAATGTGTGTGTGTTTGTGCGAGCAAATACAGAGGCGAATTATTTATAGTCAAATTGAATAAGGTGCAGCTAGTCAAGGCAAAACCTGATAGTAGGATTCGAGTACCATGTTATACATGAGGAAGAGAATGATTGATAAGCGATAATTAAGCGATCAACATTTAAGCTAGAGTCTGTTTTGTGACCAAGGTACATGTTTATACAGATATGGTAGTGATGATAATAGTACAGAGAAATATACGAATCGTTACTGTTCGAATAACATTGTCTGTCAACTAAGTTAATAAAAGGGCTTAACCAAAATGCAACCATAATCGAAATTAATTGTAAATGTGTTGTTAATATCCATCCCATTAATAAATACAGGCTTTTTGCAACTTAACGGAGACGGCATAAAAGGAATAATGAAAATCTTTGAAAATATCACATTTGAAGACACACTCGAGATTCTGAATGAAAGTGAGTCCTTCTATTATTGAATAAACACACTTTCCTCTTTCACATTTTCACTATTTAACTTGATTGTTCGCAATGATTGTATTGGTTTGTGTGTTTCAGTGCTCGAACATTCCTTCAGAATATATAGTCATTACTGTCAGGTAAAAATGTAAAACAAGACGAAGATTCACTTCCAGCTAAACACAAATTGATTGATGTGAAATAACTCAAAGTAAACATTACGTAGGTTCCAGTCTATCTGAACTATAGTAAAAGAGATATTACAATATCTCGATAAATCTCAGTAGATTCAATGAACCTAACTGACCACATGCGCAACAATAAGTGAATTCCTGCGTTTTGGCAGATTATCTTATTGAGACATATGAACCACTAAAATGTATTTGATGTCCTCCATCTCTTTTCTGGCACTTACTTGATCCATAAAGGTTTGATGTCCTTTAGTTGTTGTCAGCAGACCATAGGATATTCAGCACTTTCTAAATTATTGTATTTGTATGACTATGAAGTTTGAATGCATACCTTTACTTGAATGAAATAGCGAATCAAAGGAACGACCATGAATAGTCCGCTACAACGAAATGATTTACTTAAAATAGAACACCCAGGGAATGAACTCAAGTAGAATTTCTCAGTTCAATTTCGTCTATTTCGGTGATTCAACACAATTATTGACGTCGGAGTAACATTTCTGAATGATAATTAGCTTAATCGTGAGTAAGTTTTTCTATCGGATTTATAGAAGTTATGATGGTTTTACGTAACTGTTGCTGGTGAAAAGACTTGTGAACTTCATGAATTAATCTAAAGTTCTTAGAATCAACGTTATAAGAGTAAAATATTCTTCTCAGTTGTTTGAATTGAAAATGTTCATCATAATTAACAATCGTTCAAATCGCATCATTAGGTTGATTGATCATTCAATTGCATCCATTTACTCAAATCCTAAAGGGAAGATCATGACATATGTTCATACTGATTCTATGTTAAAATGTATGTTAAATTATTAAAAGAGATACATATTCAATATACATATCCGTAAATACTCATTTGATATTCATTTTATCAGTCGAATTATTCGCTGTCAAATGGTCTCTGCAGGAGAATACAAATTCTGGTGGTAAGTAAAATCAATTGCAAAGAATCATTTTCATTGACAAACTCAAATAGAACTTGATGAGAGGACTGTTATGGTTAGGTATCCGAGAGCAGAGATTGATACATGGTGAGCGACAACACAGGTGTGGTGTGTGTGAGAAAGTGAATTTGTCTGCTGAATAAAAGGCAAAAATACTCTTTCATGTATCCAACACACTAATTCTCAGTAAACGCATACATTTCTCACACAATCAAATGCACTTGTCATTCAGGTCATTCTTGACTGTTATCGATATAACTTCTCACTAAACTACTTCTCATTGACTATCCACATCAGGTTGATTGATCTTCAGTGAGAAACAGAAATTATTGCGTGAATGTGAAGTTCTATCCTTAAGAGTATTAGATCTGATTGAAAAGCTGATGATTCATTGTTTCAATGTAAACATGACGGATTGATTCACATTTGAGGATACATCTTCCTTTCATTGACATCATGTTCACTTGAAAGTGTTCATTAAGACTTGAACTAAACAGATCTGATCACATAATCAATAGTTATATATACAATGTCGAATGCAACAATAACTTGTTTATTAATTGTTCTTCATATTCTGTGTAACGATCTTGTTCGTTTGGTAGATGTAAAAGGTCAAGTAACTTATCTGATATATCCGAATGGGAAGATGTCTATTTACTTTGAGAATGTAAGTTTCACTATTGAATGGTGATGTAATGTTATTTCATTGTGCTGTCTCCTTTACTTGAGTAATGTTGATTGTGTCTAGATACACTAAACACGAGGAAATCAGAACAAGATTTTATATTGTGTAGACAGGTTGTATGACATTATAACTTAAACTTTAATAAGGCATTTTATTCTGACATCATTAGTGAATGGGGTTTTGTGGAGATTTTAGAAATTTCACTGACTGAAATCACGAGCCAATTGAAGCTAAACCACCATGGAATACCTGAAAGCACTGGACGGCCGTTTCGTTCTAGTATGGGACACCTCAGCAGTGCGAGTTCACGATCCCGCAACCCACGAGATTCGAACACCCGACCTATAGGTTTGGCACCAGGCGCTTAACCAAAACGAACACTGAGCCAGGCGGCATCCAACGGTGTTAATGTCTAATTTCAAGCAATCCATGAAGTTGCTCCACCACACACCGTTGTCTTCAGTGAGTTGATATCTCACAACAGACCTGGTTGAACTCCACTGGTAACGACTTCTCACTAGAACTCCAGGAAATGCCTCTTGAAGTCAGTCACTAGTGAACAGATGATTATTATCAGAAGGGGTTTTGTGGAGATTTTAGAAATTTCACTGATTGAAATCATGAGTCAATTGATGAAATTGTTGATCAGTTCGGAATGTGTAGTTATTTCAATGTTATCGTTTGATGTTTCACCTATTTTGAATACAACTGCTGTTGATTCACTATAATATGGTCCTATGAAAGAACAGATGACATGTTTTAAGTTGAATTTGTTTTAAATGATAAGAAGTAGTCTGGAAACATTAGTAATTACTATCCATGGAGTTATTGAAAATCATATCTCATTTCAAAAGACGTAGATTTTCATGCTAGATTGTATCGCCTCATTTTATTATTGACAGATTGTTTATCACGCCTTACTGAAGTTGATGACTGCATTAAGTTAGAATAGCTGTGTAGACAAGGTGAAATATCCTCGAAAAGAAACTGATTATACTTGCATGCCTACTGTGAATGTGATTAATTGTCTTTGAATATGAAGACCTGAATGATGACACACTACTGAAATGATTAGTTGCTTTTGATGTATGTGGTTGTGTGTTAAACAGATCTTAATTCATATTTCCGATGGTTATTTTCAGATACCCAAAGAAATTGATGAAAGTAATTTACAGTCGTTGATTTATTATCTACATCGTTGTATAGATGATAAACAGAGAAGTAAGAAAACGTTTACAGATATTTTTCTGAATGTTTCAATGTACAGTGATGTACATCGACAATCATCTGTTACCATTATATTACTTTCTGTCTCCAAACAGCTATCAAAGTGCCATCATACAGATCTAATCTAATCTATTTCAGTGACTTAATGTCATTTTCTTACAGTCTAGACCAGTCGGTTGATACTTGTGTCACTAAATTATTTAGAATGAATGTTCAGAATAAAGTCGGAATACTTTTCTTCGTGGAGGTTGGCACTATTCAAACTTTAATGCTTTTCGATAAATCAACGTCAATGTCATGATGATACTTCTTGAACCAATATCCAATTGTTTTACATGATAAAAAAATCACAGTGTAAGTCACTGATGAAGTTGCTCGATGTTTCAGACAACGTCTTTTGAATATTGAAGAACTGTTATTAACTATATTGAAGCTAAACCGTAAATCTCCATGTTGACTAGTTGTAAGCCGAAATGTGAAATAATTTGTAATGAAACAGTCATATTCTGTTGGAATGTTGAACGACCTCCACTTTATTCAAACTCAACAGTGTTTCTTATTTTGTTCACAAGTTAAATGATACAAACCATTTGTTATAATTTCAATAGAAATCATAAATTGAAGTGTTTGTTCTTTTTGTTCAATCAGTTTATATTTTCGAATCGTACAATCCAATTAACGTTCCAGTGCACTTGATCAAACATCGTACTTTGGTGGAGTTTGAACCGAATACAGGTATGTAATAAGTGATTTGATCAGTATTGACCATTTTCACACTTGAACACCTGAAGTTGATTACTTCAAATTAAGAATTCCAAATGATATTTTAGTCCGTTATGCAACCATCTATCTGAACGGACGTTCTATTTACTAAGAATGACTTCATTTTGATTCGTTGTTGAATATTCAACATGAAAGATCAAACTTGATTAATATTTTAGTCTTCGTTTTGTTCATTATTACGTAATCGCACTGTCATAAAAACGAAGAATAAGATGATACAATTGGTGAATAAAATTTATCGACAGTTAATTGAGGATTCATTGACATGGGAGTGTGCCATTGTTCTTTCATTTAGTGCATGTGCTATTGAATTTTCCTCAAGTATTGAAATTGCAGAAACATTTTAGATGATTGTCATTACCTTGTGTTAGTGGGACATAGATTAGATTAAAGCATGCTCAATGTATGAGTGCTTTGGAGCATGATGATTGGCTGATTGTTATCCAATCAACGCTAGCCGATTCTTGGAGAACATTCTAGAATCTCCTCAATGTAAAAACTATAAATATACACAAACGTTTTTCCTATTGTGCTTCTTCATACTTCCATCTAACCTTGTTATTTGGAATATAATCTGTTTTCCTGTTCAACCATGTTCTGAATTGGTGGACTTCTCGAATGAATTGATGTCTAAGAATATTAAGCAGTTTATAGTTACATTTCTTTAAGGTTTGTTTTATTCAATCACTTGTAATACAATTATCATGTTCCATTGTTTTATAGAAACTTGTTACATTAAAGATTCAAAAGAAACATGTCTATCTGCATCTAAACCGAATATGAAATGTTATTGGTGTTCAAAAGCTAATAAATGTACTAATGGTCTTGATACACATATTGATCATTGGATGGAAAATGATTGTAAACCCACTGTAAGTAATCATTAAACTTAAAAACGTTTTCTTTCTTGATTGATTGAGATCATGAACCAATTGATGTTAGACCACCATTGAAATTCTGGAAGCAATGGAAGGCCGTTTCGTCCTATTGAGGGACTCCTGAAAAGTGAGCATCCATGATCAAACTCAGAGCCTTCAGCCTTGTGCACACAGCTCAATCTTCTGGAGCGGTATAGAACGGTGTTAATGTGTAACCTGAATCAATCCACGAAATTGCGCGAACAACTTCGATTGTGTATTGGTTGAGGATACACATTAACATCATTAGATGCCTGCTCAGTGATCCAGTAGGTTAAGCGTTTGCGGGTGAGCCTGAAGGCGTTGGGTTCGAATCCTGCGAGGTGCGGGATTGTAGATGCACACTGTCGAGGAATCACACAATAGAAGGAAACGACCGTCCATTGCTTCCAGCTTTTCAATAGTGGTCTGACATCAATCGGTTCATGATCTCAATCAATTACTTGACAATGTCCACAACCTCTAAATTGATCTCTATATATATGTTGTTTTGTTTATTTCATTTCAGAAATCATCGGTTTACCTATATGCATTGATACCATTAGTTTTATGTTTCCTAATTGTATGTGTTGGATTTGTCATATGGTTTAAATTATCTAAAGGATAATAAATGTAATTCATGATCTACAGAAACATCTTCACAGATGAATAGAACTATATTTTGTAATTCATTTCAATAGTTTAGATATTAGTTTGTGCAATGATTAACACTTTTCTATGATCAATTATGTGATGTTATGTTTGCTTTGTTTTGTTTTGTTCGCTTTGTTTTGTTTTGTTCGCTTTGTTTTGTTTTAATCAAATATTAAACATGGTTTTCATTATACATGTGATTGTTTTCATTTGATCAAAAGTAATTTGTGTTACACCGTTGGATACAGGTCGGCTCAGCAGTCTGGTAGGTTGAGCCATTGTGTACAAGGCTGAAGGTCCTAAGTTCAAATTTCGTGAGCAAGATTGTGGATGATCACTGTTGAGGAGTCACACAATAGGAGGAGATAGTCGTTCATTGTTTCCAGGTTTTAAATGGTGATTTAACAACAATAGGTTCATGTTCTCAATCAATAACTTAATAATATCCACAACCCTATACTGATAATTACTATGTGCTTACTAGTGACTAGCTTCTCGAGGGAGTTCTCACAGTTTTAGTGAAAAGCTGTGACCAGTGGAGCTATTCCGTGTATACCGACTCAGTGGTTGAGCGTTTGTAATTAAACACATCCATTCTTCGTTATTGTTTGCTTATTGAAAGCTCAATGACAAACTATAGTTAATAGAGTATTATGAAAACGGATTGAGAAAAGAACTTAAGACAGCTAAGCCAATACTCAAGTAGAACTGTGAAAAAGTGTAGGTTGAATAAAGTAGTAATAGATTGTCCATAGCACTGTTCAATAATATGACAAATAAACTGTAGTGTCTCATTCGTATTGATTATTTCAATCTTCTCGTTGATGTATAGAACTGTTGTTGGCCAGTCATTTGTGTAGAAATCCAAACACTCCATTTCCGCATGTAAGTTGTTCTGATGATGTTGTTCAGCTTAACTATGAACATTCTACGACCAAATCATTGGGCTCAAAAAACAAAACTCGACCTGAATTCATTCACCTGAGTCATAAATATTCCCCAATATCTCACGGTGTATTCTCCACAGCTTTAAATGACAAAGTTACCTTTGTTAATCTGGCACTGAAACGTAGAAGTACGGGACGGCGGTTTCGTTCTTGCGTGTGACTTGTTAAAAGCGCGCGTTAATGATTGTGTATCTAAGGCTACAACTCACGACCTTCCATTCGGTTTCGTACAAAAACAACTGACCCCTTAGACCACTGAGACAGGATTCATATGCTTTTGTATGCAACTCTGATCAATTCATTATTCTTCACAATCTCCTTCTATATCATCTTGTATCTAATATATAAAGTACAAAATCTAATGACAATTGAAATTTCACAATTTTCAGAAAACATTTAAGCGACTGTCAATAGTTTACTTTTCTCCTGTACCTCTCACAATCTATCTGTATTGATAGGCATCTAGAATATTCTTTCTAAATCAATTATTTTTTAGCTTTCATAACCATCAGTGTCCATTGAGGTTAGCCTCAGTACAATCATTTATCTGTGCTTGTAATTCATTGTCACAGTATACACAACCAAAGCTAACAGATTCAAAATAATGGAGCCCAGGAAGAATAAACCTAAAATGGTAGATAGTCAGAATGCAGATTTGACAATAAAACCGGTAGTAATGTGGTGTGTTCTACCAATTTTAACAGGTATATGTAGTATGTATCATCAGTCAGAAGTGGAATGCCTGACGGCATGAGGTTGAGAACATCGAAGAGAAGAGGACGAGAACACAGAGAGTGATTGTTATAGAAACGAAGGATTAAAGGCGTTTGAGACAACTGTTGGGTATTTTGCACATGAAGTATTTGTTGTTTATTTCTAAGATTTTACTGAGACATTCAGTGATTTTGTATACAAGTAAATCTGTTTGTTCCTACCTGTGTTCTCGTTGACTACAGTAGTACTGGTGGTAGTATTGGTAATGATGCGAGAATTTTAATGCATGTTCTAGAGTCGGTACATTCATATATCGAGTAGTAGGTAGTTCTGCACTTCATTTAGTTTACAAAAACGAATGTCAATACCAAGTGATTGATATGTCGTAAAACATTGAATTGCTTGAACAATTCGATTTACTTCAGTCGGCTATCATATTCAATCTCAGTCAATATAAACAATTAAGAAAACATTTAGGCAACAATAAAATGTATCTATCCAAAATATCGGTTAACGATGCGTTTCTTTATCATAATGTTGCAACTAGAAGAATTGCGTAAGAAAAACTTTTATAAATGAGATCTTTATGATAAGACAATATAGACAACCGAATCTTTCTGTATACATAGATGTAGTTAAAGTCATTTTATGCCAGTTGTTACGGTAAACCGTAGTAAAGTTGACAATCTACGTCCACTAATTATGTTGGACGATTTTGAGATTAGTTAAATTAATTTATCAATTAAAATATTAGACTGAATAATTAACGATCACTGAAACAAGACGCGCGGACTGCAAGCACTAGAAAATCAGGCTGACCCTCGAACTGATAGTTATTGCATCGACCACATATTCAACACCCGTCAGATTTCGAAATGCAGACATGTTTATCGGCATCTGACAATAGTGGTTTTTCTTGACTTCAAAGCAGCATTTGAATCTATAGCCGAGACATTCTGTGGCATTGTTTGTTATTAAAATGCGTACCTCAGAAGTACATGAACCTTGTGAAGACCCATTACTCGAACACCACCAGTCAAGTCAGAGCTCATGGCAAACTGACATATGATTTCACAAACTCAGGTAGAGTCCGATCACGCTTTCTACTATCTTCATTTTTATCTAATTCCATCAAAGACTTACTGCAGGAAATGAGGTTTTCGTCTACTGGTTATCGAAGAATCAATCTTCCACCAGGATTCCCACTTATTGAATGAGAATACGCAGATCACATAGTCCAGTTTAATGGAGACGGTGATAAAATGCAGACCTTTTTATAGCACTGAACAACAGTGTCAGGATGTGTTGGATGAGCTTCTTCACATCTAAATGCAAATTGTTGCTTCAGGACTGGTCTGAATCAACACCTGAACTAAGGATAGGGAGTGACGTAGTCAACATGTATTCACCCAACTTATTCCGTGTTGGCTTTTCATTACCATCGTTGCTCAAAAGGTGCAAGTGAAATATTTACGTTTACGGCATATGTTAGGACACAAAAGCTCTCTATCATCCCAATATTCATCATTAAACCACAAGATGACACTAGTTAAACGAATCAAAGACATTATTAATGGCTGCAACTGTTAGTGTTAGTGTTAGCGTTCCACTAGGCACTATGTATATGAAACAAAATGAGAACATGTAATTTAGTGATAGCTTGTAATGAGATCGTCCTGCAATTACTTAGTATATGTTAAGTAGTTAATGTTGGATGACAGCAATGTTTGAACACAAGTTTCATGCTGGTTGATACTTGTCCTTAAGAAATAACTAGAATATCAAGAGTGCTGATGTTCACTGTTTGATGAGGACTCGTGTCATACAATTTCACAGTTTGGCAACTTATCACTGAAATACTCGTTCCACAACTGAACACCTGTACTACCAGGCTTCATTTTCAACTCGATAGATGAAGTTTAATCAGCACTGAGATCCAGAATAACACGATATTGCACACTGCTATGTGATTAGTTAGTGCGTATCAGCACTTTCAACAAAGTCGACTGAATTGCACTTCGCATGTTCTACATGTCTGTTCCATTATTTCACTCTACTAATCAAAATAATGTTGCTACTCCTCAACAAACGATGTCAATTACAACATTGATGCTTCATCAGTTATATAGAAACAAATAAACGAATCAGTTTTTTTAATAGAAAGCAGATCCTAATATAAGGCATGTTTTAGCATGAGAGCTCTCAACAGTGAACACACAGTAGTCTTACACACTAACTTAATGTTTCCAATTTTGTCACAATCAAAGCATTCAACAACATGATGAGGAAACTATTTCTGAAAATCTAATTTACCAAGTCAATGATCACCTTAATATCCAGCTCCGAAACTGTTTTTAGAATTCAATGTGTATCTACATATACTAGCTGATGGGATGACGCGGTGTTTGCAGTAAAGGGTACTGATTTTGAGTATCAGGGTAAACACCAACTCTGTGATGCAAGTACACCAACCTGGTGAGTTTTAAATGGGATAAAATGATATTCCACTGCTAGCCACCACCCATTCCTGCTTCTTTTGCCGTTTCGTTCTAGTATGGGACACCTCAGCAGTGCGAGTTCACGATCCCGCAACCCACGAGATTTGATCACCCGACCTATAGGTTTGGCACCAGGCGCTTAACCAAAAAGAACACTGAGCCGGCCGGCATCCAACGGTGTTAATGTCTAATTTCAAGCAATCCATGAAGTTGCTCCACCACACACCGTTGTCTTCAGTGAGTTGATATCTCACAACAGACCTGGTTGAACTCCACTGGTAACGACTTCTCACTAGAACTCCAGGAAATGCCTCTTGAAGTCAGTCACTAGTGAACAGATGATTATTATCAGAAGGGGTTTTGTGGAGATTTTAGAAATTTCACTGATTGAAATCATGAGTCAATTGATGAAATTGTTGATCAGTTCGGAATGTGTAGTTATTTCAATGTTATCGTTTGATGTTTCACCTATTTTGAATACAACTGCTGTTGATTCACTATAATATGGTCCTATGAAAGAACAGATGACATGTTTTAAGTTGAATTTGTTTTAAATGATAAGAAGTAGTCTGGAAACATTAGTAATTACTATCCATGGAGTTATTGAAAATCATATCTCATTTCAAAAGACGTAGATTTTCATGCTAGATTGTATCGCCTCATTTTATTATTGACAGATTGTTTATCACGCCTTACTGAAGTTGATGACTGCATTAAGTTAGAATAGCTGTGTAGACAAGGTGAAATATCCTCGAAAAGAAACTGATTATACTTGCATGCCTACTGTGAATGTGATTAATTGTCTTTGAATATGAAGACCTGAATGATGACACACTACTGAAATGATTAGTTGCTTTTGATGTATGTGGTTGTGTGTTAAACAGATCTTAATTCATATTTCCGATGGTTATTTTCAGATACCCAAAGAAATTAATGAAAGCAATTTACAGTCGTTGATTTATTATATACATCGTTGTATAGATGA